GCTGTTCTTCTGCTCATAAATTCTATTACATACTTTGTAGTGTTTATAAGTAACAAAGTTTTATATGCAATAAACCATACTTTTCATGTTATCTTCTAAAGGATTGTTATGATTTCATAGGTACATCTTTTGGAAATATGTACTACGATATTTAGTGTTTATGATATGCTAAGACCGTATAACGGAAAAATATGTCATGTCAATACTGTTACTTGTTTATATTTAGTATACATTAAATCAAACAAATGAACATTGCGTTAACTACGCTTTCCTACCCTAGGATAGCTTCTGTAGGAAGTTTTTCTTGATGATACAATCAAATGAATCTTACTAATGAAAAGGTGAGCCGTATGATGAAGGCGTACTTCCACTTTGTTTATTTTACACCAGTATATGATGAGAAGAAATAAGGTTTTAACAGTGAACATGGTGAATACTTTAAGTACCATACACCAGGTTACTTGAAGCAAGTGTTACTGGGTCATAAATAACAGTAACTTGAAGACTGCTTTTATGACTGACTATTCTTGGGTTTATATCTACAATGCATTTTAGACGAAATTACCAGAAAAACTATGCTTTTGACTTAATGGATACTTGAGCTTTTTTTGTTTATTTATCCAGAATGTAACCTCTAGTCATCAGAAGCTTAAATACACTGCATTTGCTTGCACAAAGATTGACGACTCAATTTTTTGTAGCGGCCTTGTTCTAAGTTTGTTTAACATGACTGACACCCATCACATATACATCATCTTTAATATTAAATGAGGGCTACATTCAGGTCTGTTAGTATATTTGGATAGGGAGAAAGTATAGAAAATCCTGAACAATGGTTGTATCTTATTGTAACAAGCAATTGAAATAACTTAAAGATGCTGCTTCTAGTCACCAAGTTTTAAAACAAATATCAATAAGAATATCTGCGTCTTCCACAAAAACTAAAATCATGCTCACAGAAAATGTTGGCTAAAAATAGGGGTATGTTATCTGTATTCAATAATCTATTGAAAATTTTATAAAGCTGGCGAAGATGGGTGTTTAACGAAAATAGGTATCAATGAGTTAATTATTTATTTATAAGTGAGAATTACGTAACGTGTAATGTAATAGTAACTATGACATTTCAGAGGTAACAATATTTGTGTAAAACCTGGGCACTGTGGTAGTATGTAATTAAATACACACACAGTGAAACAGTATTATTTACTGGATGACGTTTCGAACAAAATTTACGGTTCATAATCATGCCATCAATTATAATCACACGATTTCGAAACTTTCGTTTTATAGTTGTCTTTATTCTTTCCTACTTGTCGCAGGGGTAGTAGAATTTTCCAGATGTCCGGTTAAACAGGTGTTAAATCATTCCTATTGCACATATTTTCAGCTGATTTGATAATTAAAACTTCCGTTATCAATCTCTCCCTCCACCCTGTCACCTTATCCCATCCTATTGTATGGTTGTGTGTAATTGCATTTAGTGGTATAGCTGAACTATGCTCCAGGTTTCTTATCCTATTAAGGCCAACTAATCTATATTTCGCCAGGTTTTTTATGCTCGGCTAGTCCGATTACCCCTGTCCTACTACATTGACCGATGTATTCGACCTAACAATCATTCCAGCAGGACATTAGCTAGACTAAGGTGTTTTGTGCAATTGGCTACACGGAATCCTTAAACCTAAAGAGCCTAATTCTAATGGGAAGTCTTAACCAGCAGGGCACAGAAGGTCGGGTGTGAGGACAAATACTCGCCGAAGACATTGGCTAGCGGTTGCACTATATCGTGAATTGGCAGAAGTTAGAATTCATGGGTTGGCCATTGGATCGGGTCCCAGTGGCTCAATCGTCTACTAGCTAGCTCACCTTGTAACCGGAAGGTCCTGGTTTCGAACCCTGTTAGTGGGTGCTTACTGATAAAGAGTCCCAAACTAGGACAAAACAGTTGTCCAGTACTCCCAGGTTTTACACTGGCTCTCTAACCAATATCAGCTCATGATGAAATCCTGTAACCAATCAACCAAACCCCTACAAAGCAATACTTGAAAGCTCAATTCTAATTGAGTTTGTGGGTTTGAATGCCACTTTATTCTTGCATTGTTAGGAATTCTCCTTAAGGCTTCCGCGGTTCCTTCCTTGTGTGGAAGTACTACTGGTGATTTATATTCCCTATTGTTGGTGTTGTCATTATCCTGTGTACGTTTGACATGCATGTAGTCATTATTATTATTATCACTATTACTACCATTATTTGTTTTATTTTTAGATTTTCCTACATAATTTCTGACTAATTTATCAGGGTAATCACTAAGTTTCAAAGCTTCTGTACTATATGCCTCACTCCCTACCTTGGATTTTCCTTGGTACGACTCAGTTTTTTTGCTCTATTACTTAGACATTTCACCAATCCTATTTTTACTGACATAGGATGGGATGATCGGAAATCCAAATATCGGTTTGAATGTGTGGGTTTCCTGTAAACACTAGTGTTTAACTTCCCATCTTCTTTCCGTTTTACGCTACAACCTATAATTGGAAGCTCTCCTTCCTGACTTTCCAATTCATAAGTGAATTGAATTGCCTCTACCTTCCAGTTGATGTGTTCGAAAAATCTGACACATTCACCGTACTTAGGACATAGAATATAAATAGACCATAATGCTCAAATCGGTAGTGTCTTCAAAGAAATACAGGTCCAGTCTTTACCTTTATCATTTACATCATAAAGATCAATCCTTAATTATGTATTCAAATTCATTCTTTACTTTCTCTTCTGAATTTCTATTCGACAATATGGTTTCATTTTATCTACCTAATGTATTTCAACTTCTCTGAAATTTTTCGACCTTTCAAACATATACTGATGAATGTACGGGATAAGGTGAATTATGATACAGAAAGTTTTCATTGTAGCTTGAATTTCATCTCTTTCTGTGACAACATATGTTACATGTGTTTTTTTTTGGTTTAAATTTGTGATGTTAAATTGACTAAAACGTAATGGTATTCAGAAGATTTTGAAATATGCTGAACTTTTAACTACTATCAGATATCGTTCCGCTTGTATCAAAACTTAATTTTCTAGTCTGTGGTAAAAAGGGTGAGGAATTTAAGGTTGATTATGTGACTGAAAAAAAAAAACACTAAACTGTGACTTAATTTCAAATGCATAAATTTACTGAAAGTTAAGAATGTAGAAACCTATAAAGTACTTTATTTTCTGGTTAACGAACTCTGTTTTGCTTATCGTAGAAGTCTAATTTTTGTGTACACTTTCAAATGGTAGACCAACTAATAGTTCCTGACATGTTCTGAATATGAATGTACTAAATGTTTAGTTTCTTTCGGTTTTAATGAATTCTTGACTGATTTCAGTGTATTATGAATGTTGCATTTATATCTGTCGATTCCTAATTAACTGCCTGATTAAACAACTTTAGTGGTTATTCCTTCAAAAACTCGGCGAGGCGTTCGAAGTGAATACACGAGTGAGACAAGGCTACCTAGCTATTATCACCAATAATATTCTTAATTGTGGTCAAATGGATTATGTGTCAGACTCTGATGCGAGATCGAGGAGACAGGAATACTCTGGATCAACAATAAGAAGGATCTAGAAAATGCGGATTTCACAGATGATATATGTCTAGTGTCACACAAACTCGAAGAGTTGCAGTCAGGCAAAAACCAACAAATTGGCAGAAGACAAAAGCCGGTTGCGAAGACAAGACTAGAAGTGAATATGGAGAAGACAGAGGTCATGAAACTAAGCAACCAACCAACAGCAACAACAACGACAGGCACCAGTCACCATCAAAGGGAAAGATTCAACAGGGTGTTACTTTCTTCACTTATCTAGGAAGCATCGTTTCAACGACAGGTAGTTGGAAAGGATGAAGATGTTAAAGTCAGAATCGGAAAGGCAAGATACTCCTTCACCAACCTGAAACTGGTTTGGAAATCTTCTGTAGTCCGCCTCAGCATAAACAACAATATTTGGATTTTTAACACGAATGTGAAAACAGCAAGTCAGAATTCTCTTATACAGGTGGGAAAATTGACGCATTACCAAAAGCATTTTCAACGACTTACAGAATTCTTTCAACAACTGCCTTCGTTAGCTCCATAATGAAGATCAAATGGTAACAAATGAACCAAGAGCCGATCGCTCAACAAATATGTAGGAGAAAGTGGAGATGGGTAGGGTGTACTTTGAGGAGGTCTTTGAATGACATCGCGCGGAATGCAGGCTACAGCTCGAGTGCAACCCTAATGAGAAGCGGTGAGTGGGTCGTCAGTGCGAGGGTGAAATGGAGCAGATCGTTTGGGAAGGAGGAGATCAGAGAGTTCGAGAGATCGTGGACACAGCTGAAGAGGACGTCAGAAAATAGAACAAAGTGGAGATGTTGTTGAAGCCCTGTGTTTCATTCGGAACTCAAGGGAATAATAATATAAGATAATATAATAATAATAATTTTCGAAAACGGCAGTTTTTGGTTTCTGCACGTGCTTAAAATTTGTATTAACTTGCTGTTATTTTCAGTTTATAAAAATATATATATGTATCTATTTATATTCGCGAACTAGTGATTAGTTGATATACCGATTTTCTTAACAATAACAGTTTTGTAAGAAACTGAAGGGTATCACGTACGAATCATTTCAGTGTAAATAAGCTTATGAGTATAGGTAAATCACTGATTTGATTTCCAGGCAACTAAAAAACAGGTAAGTTCAGAAATAAAAAGAACCCATTATTTGCAAACATGTTTGAGTGTCTAAGATTAAGCCAAATTATGGAATGTTCTGTAAAAATATACAAGACTTCAAACCTATAAGAGAGAATTTTGTCAGTTAGATAAGACCACTGTTATGCGGAAAAAACAACCCTGTTAATAGTAGTAATATACTCTGTCTAAACTTTGTTAATGGATAAGAAAATATTATAGTGGTCAGCAAATCAGTCAATCAGTGACTATACGACCAAATTAACTCACCTCAAATAAATTTACATATGGATCAGCAAAATTAACTATTTTCAGTGTATAATATTCATCTGAATCATCGGGAAGTTGGCCGAGTTTATGCGAAATTTTAAGTAATCCCAATTCTGCATACTTGAGTACAACATCATTCATTAAATTGCCTATCAAGGTCCCGATGGATACTTCTTCCTGAATGTAATATTCATGATCAACTGGTGGAGAAGATGTTGTTTGGATGAAGTTAGTACAATGTGTAATGAATAATGTCACATGTAATAAAATGAACATTGTATAGAAATTGTTATAAGTATTCACTGTCATTTGTATATTTGCCTATTTTTGTGTAGAAAACCTGTGGATATCAAAATAAAAATTTTAGTAGATAAACTCTACTTGAGATATAACACAAACAGCATAAAAGTTATTTCAAACGAAAAGAAGGTATATATATATATATATATATATATATATATATATATATATATATATATATATATATATATATATATAATTTGCTTTATTCCAAAACAGTACTCGTCATAAAGAATGGAATTCTCAGCATTTTTACTACAGTATTGCATCCAGTTAGTACATTATCGATAAATAAAATTCTACATAGATTATGGGTAATCTCAGTTAGTTTTGACAACAACATACTGACAAGTCGGTGGTAAAGCCAAAAAGTGAACAGTGTTTGAAGATGATAGCAAAGTAGGTGCTGGTGTATTAACTGGCGTAAGCGGTAACAAACAGGTCGAGATATACAGAGTGTGAAAGAACGAAGAAGAATGTCTTAAGCAGAGTTTGTAAGGAAGAAAAAAACAAAGCAGCGCATAACAGAAAAAAAGAAAGAAAGAAAACGTTGTACCTATAAGTGATATGAGTTGGAAAGACGAGATCCAGTTGTTCTACTGACTATTTAATACGTTATAGGCATCACGCCTAATGCTTTCTTTCTTTATCGCACAGAACACGAGCTAAGTAGGATATGGTTGAGTTTTTGTACTTGCTAGTGCGAGCATATAGTTTTCTATATAGACTTCTGGTCTACTTGCCTGATGAGATACAAGGGGAGAATTGTGAATGAAGAGGGTGGTGTGAGTTAGATAGATAGAATGGATTTAGCCCATTTTTCACATGAGTCTATGTGCCTGTTAACCAGAATATTAACAAGCTGGTCAAGTGGCACGTTGCTTACCCTGCTGACAACCTTTAACATCCTGCGCAATAAGATATAGTCTTTCTCCAGTAGCCCAGGAAAAACTAAGGGGGAACAATAGAGAATATATATATATATGTAAGAGACGATTTCTGAATATAATTTAAGCTTTATTGATAGAGTTTGCACTGTCATGTTCTCCATTAAGCCGAAAAGTCTATGCCCGAACCATATAGATGACTGCAGAGTATTCGAAATTGAAAATGTTTCTTGCTAAACGAGCTTGAGTTGTCAGTCCCACCCCTGAACTTGCTTCTTTACTGGAATCAATACCAACAGCAAGTCCAGCCCGCTGACTTTTAAGGAGTGATAAAAAATGTATTCTGAGGCGCATAACTGCCAACCAGTGTCACTGACGATGGACCCTGCTAATCACCACTTCTCACAACAATTCCAGGAAGATTCATCCTGTAGTCAGTCATCAGTGAGCATTACATTCATTTTCGACTGTTGTTTTTTAAGGATTTGATTGGTTTCAAGTTCGATTAAGGATTGGTATCATTCAGGGAGCCAGTAAAAACAAAGAGACGGGGGAGGGGTTAGTGGACAGGCGTTTCGTTTTAGTTTGAAACTCTTCAGCAATACGCATGTATGACCTCATCAAGGATAAAATCCGGGAACTTCAGGTTACATGGTGAGCCACCAGGACAGAATCCAATGACCTATAAACTCTGTTTTCTGCTGTCCAATACTCCGTGATTTTCATTGCTTCTCTAACTAATACCAATCCGTGATCAAACCTGGAACCAGTCAAATCCTTACAAGCTAACATTTGAAAAACTGTTTCACTCTGACTCTGTACACACATACTCACTTTTAGGGGTCTTGATTTAATACGTCATGAGTTCTGTTGTCATTTTACGAATTTGCATGCACTACTATTAGTTTAAATTTTCTGCCAACAAAATGAAGACAGTAATAATAATCATCTACCGAGTACGAAATAAGTTGCTGAAAACATCGAGGTACCTCATACTCCAGACAGCAGAGATTATCACGACTTGCATGAAACAACCAGTGCTTTGTGTGCAAAAGAAGCAAGTCTAGCCACTACTACTACTACTACCCTGGATGGTCTTCAGTGGAGACTATAAATTCATGAATCTGTATTATTATCTTTCATAATTTGCCTTTCTGATATTCAGTGTATTGTAATGTTGATGCTGTGGAACTGCAATTTTTTTTCCTTCACGTTCCCCAGTGGAACATAGGGCTTCAAGCTAGTGGCTTGAGGTTTCTGTAGCAGTGTTTATTTTACAGGATGGGGTTGGTAGCCTCATGCCCAACCTTTCCTCCTTACCAGCATTATTTCTGATTTAGCGAGGTAAAGGAGTGCGTCGGCCGGGAATCGAACTCTGGACCATGTGCATAGTCGGCGAGCGTCCTAACCGCTATGCCACCGATGCATACACAACTGGGTTCGAACCCAGGACATTCTGGTTACAAGGCAAACTCTTATACCATTAAGCCGCTGGGACTGTAATAGACTGATCTTATTATTGATTCAATGTTATTTAAACAACATTAATGTTGTTGATAGCACTAATTCACTCATTATTAGGCATATATAACTGTATAACCTGATGAAGAGGTTATCTAAATCAGTGTTCTTTGTTAAATAACCGTTCTTTTGAAATACTAAGGTAGATACTTAAGAAATATAATGAGAAAAGTGATATCAAATATAACGGTACTAAAATTTGGTCGACTCAAATGTACTCAGTTATTTTCATTTTGGAAATGTTTATTTCAAGTAATGAATTATTGTTTTTTTTTCCTGAGATTTAGCTAAACCTTTTGAAAACTTTGTTTTCGAAAATGTGCATAGTATAATACAAATATCGTGTGGTATTTATTTCTGTCTCGTTAACTACCATGCATTGCTCATGCTGTGTCAATATCAGTACAGAGGACAATTTTAAATGTATATCTACACAAAGAACCTCAAGTGTTCTTCACAGTTTCAAAGTGTGTTATTCATTGGTGAGGTTACAAAAATGACTGAAATTTTGAGTAAAATAATCTTCAATTACCTACACTGCATGATAGAAAATAGACGTTCATTAAAAATTTATTTCCAGAAGAAAGAAAAGATTTAGGAAGAGCTATCCATTGTGGAGAAATGCCTACGCGACAACGAATGCCCACAAAAGTTCATCGACAAGTATGGGAGACGTCAAGTTGAAAAAGTGAAATGCAGCACATTAGATAAAAAGCCTACCTTTCCGCAGCTTGCATTCAAAGGCGATGATACTGCTAATAGAATAAGATGCAGACTGAACGCTGCCCTGAAAAGAGCATATCCAGCCGCCAAGCTTCTATGTGTTTATCAAACAACTAGTTGTTTGAGACAATCAAAAGTGGACAAATACCCACCTCATATTACCTCCAACTGTGTCTACCAATTTACATGTACGTGCCAAAGCACATACATTGGAAGAACATAGAAAAGGGTTAGTGTCCGCATTTATGAACACATATCAAAGAACCTGAAAGTGAAAGGTCCATAAGCATTAAACAGTGCGATTGCTCGTCATCTATTGGACACTGGTCATATTGTAGACAACCTGAAGTCGTTGAAAATAATCAACAAGCAAAAGAAACCTAGCTTGCTAGGCTTTGCTGAAGCGATTGCCATTAAACGACTTAAACCAAATCTATGTACGCAGAAAGAGGTAGTGGTGAATCTTGCACTGCCCTGGTGATAACAAAAAAATATATACAACTTTCATGAGTCACCTTTGTCATGTTTAGAAAACTCTACTCTCTCATCTGAACATGACTCACCCTACCTTGTTTCTTTTCTTTCCTTTTTCTATTGGCTATTAGATAAGACGTTTTCTTTAGTTATGTAATCTACTTTTTTCTTATGCTCTTTCTAGCTAAACCTTGTTTCTACACACACATATATATATACGCAACCATGTTTTTTGTTTCCAAGCCTAAGTGTCTAATTATTCTATAAATAGTCAGTGTTTGTAACTCCTAATCAGTTAAATAATTTCAGACTAATGTTACTTTTAATTCCTGCCAATTACTCCTTATGGTCGTGGAAAAGTATGTTCATATCTTTAATGTATTTCATATTTTTTAACGTTCAGGTTGTAACAAGTTGAGAAGAATCCTTGAAATAATATAAGATGAGCTCATATTATCCTGGTACAATTGTTGTTCTTGCTTTGTTCAAGTTTATAAATGGGAAGAATTGCATGAAGCTTTTAAAGAAAGAATTGTTGACGTTACATGGTTGGAGGCAATCGGCAGGAAGCCTTGCTCCCTCGACCTAGGTTTCGTGCTAGTTGGCGCTCAACAGTCAGTAAGGCATATATATCTGTAACCTTGACACATCACACTCGTTACTGGCATCCAATCAAAAGAAAGAATTGTTGTACAGATTTGACTAGAAGTTAATAACATATTCATTATCTCAATATTTCACACACCCACAATGTCATCAATTTCATTGAGATTATTTGAAATGATAAATGTATGGCCTTCTATAATCGTTCTCTCTAACTTCCATCTGTTTACGTTAAAAGTCACTATATATTATATATTGGTAATTCAAGGCTTTATCATCCAACTAGTTTAACTTATCCAAGTTTAATTGACTTTGTCTATCTATCTATCTATGTAGAACTTGGGTCTAAACAGAAATTCTTTCAAATGCTTAATTTTGATTTATTTACACATTGTCTATTGAACAGGCATTTATACGATATTGCGGAAACCAGTCTGTTTTATGTCTTCATCTTTTGCATATCCATCTATTTGTTTATTTATTCTAATATCAGGTGCTTTCATCTTCTGTTATTTTGTCACCAGAAAAAACAAACGATAGAGAATAGTTTACACCATGAAAAACCACATTTTGTTTAAATGTACATGTGAAATAAATTCTAAAAGTAAAAACAAAAAAAAACAGCAAAACAAAAAATGGCGTTCCCAAAAACTCAGTAGAAGAAAAAAATGATATGGTTTATGGCATTATTTTACACATGATGATTAGAACAATTTCAGAAATAAATCATGATAACATTTTTGTAAATGATGAACTGTTTCAGTGGATGACTACATGAGTAATTGGCCAATCTGAACAAACTGAAGATAGACATTGATATATTAAGGTTCTT